AGGACAAGAGGGCACAGACTCAAGCTCTGCCAGGGGAGCTTTAGGTTGGATATTAGGGAGAGATTTTTTACAGAGAGAGTAATCAGACATTGGAATGGGCTGCCTGGGTAGGTGGTGGATTCACCATCCCTGGAGGTTTTCAGGATGAGACTGGATGTGGCACTTAGTGCCATGGACTAGTAACCACAGTAGGGTTGGACTCTGTTATCTTTGGGGTCTCTTCCAACCTGGTTGATTCTATGATTCTATGAAAGGATATTTATATCTGTTTCTCCTGGGCACTGTCATCCTAGATTTCATTTGGAAGCACCATCGGCACGCATTCAATGACAGCCAGATTTTTTAAGCGTTAAACGGGGCAGCGGGCAAGAAGGAACATCTGCCTGGGTGCAAGGTCTCTGACCTCCTGCAAAATCTCTGCCTGGCAGGGGTGTTTCTATTTTTTTCTTTAAATTTAGATGTTTGTTGTTTCTGTCTAGACTGGTCATGCAGTTGGATGGACAGGGAAGCGACCCAGCCCCAGTGTGTACCTCTGTGCCTACCAGCAGCTTGTGGGCCCCAGGGGAAAGCAGGGGCTTTGTCTCCCATTCCTGGCTGCCCCTGGTGCCCCAGCTGCTCAGGTAGGACACAGGAACTCAGCCCCAGCACTGGTGTCCTTGGTGTCCCCAGTGTGTCACCTCCAGCATCTACTGGTTCCAATGCCACCAAGCAGCATTAGGACCAACATGAGTATCTGCTCTTACATGTGAAGTCTAACCCAGGCTTTGTGTTTTACTGGTGTAAGTAGGTCTGCAGGGCTGCGCTGCCTTTATGATGTGACAAGGAGTTGGCTGCTAGCATATTTGGGCTCAGCGCTGGCAAAATAATCCTTCTGGCCCTCCTGGGGAGGGTCTGCCAGCAAAATCGCCCTTTGGGGCTGTGTGTTGTGCCTTTCTTGTGGGGCAAAAGAAAGCAGTGTTAGTTCAGCTAAAATGGAGAAAGTAAGCTACAAATCTTTACAGCTTCCCGTAGCTTCTTGTGTGTTGTTATTGTTTGTGATCTGGGGCTGAAAGTGAGTGGTATTTGCAAGTTCTCTTTTAACTACTGAGATGGTGTATTCCAAGTCCCCTGTCATTTTAGCAGTATGCCTGTTCTGGCTTTATGTATTGGCAAGAACCTGGAAATCTTTCCTCCTAATTTTGGCTCCACCGTTTAGGATTTCTTAAAAGGTATCTTTCCTTTTGTTCCTGTTTACCAACAGCCAAAACTTAGGAGAACATCAGGCTGTCAGTGTCATCCCAAAAGCTTTCTCATGATCTAAACACAGCAAAGAAAAACCAGTTTTCCTCATCTAATTGTCATCAAAGAGAATAATATGTATAAGCAGGAATTTTAACTCTTGAGTGGATAATTAAGTGCTCTGCCAGGCTATAGCAGCTGTTCTGTGCTGTATATTGTACTGGTATTATTTTTGAAAAGCATAGAATTTAGGTTGCTTGGAGCATGAAAATGAAAGGCAGTCTGAGGCTAGATCCTAAGGTTATTGTGAATTGGCCCAGTTTCATCAAAATCCATAAAGCTGATTTATCACAGTTGATGAAAGAGGTCTCTTGCACAAAGGACATCTGCAAAGAGAGAACTGGTGCCTTCTGCTTTCCTTCAGGTTTCACAAGACTGCTATAAGGCAGGAGTAACTGTATTCCCACCTCGGCTGCTCTAAGAAGCACTTACTACTGACCCAGTTTTTGTCCCCTTTCATTTTTGCCATATGGTTTTGAGAGCTTGATCTTTTGGCTCTTAAATGTTGTATGATTTTTTTAATAGGATCTGATGGTTTGAACCCATCTACAGAGGTAAAGAGGAAAATCTTGCCTGATACCCTGCAGCCTTCTGGGTCAGTTTGATGATGGGCTGGCACATGCTATTCGACCTCTTTGTTTAATGTATTTCATAGACCACACTCTAAAGCTTTCTGTGAATATAGGTACAGCTTACATTTCTCCCTACACCAGAAGCTCCTTCTGTTGCTACAACAACAGTGCTCCATATTTTCCATTTGTAAACTCTCCTTCCCCCTTTTCAGCCTAGGAAAACACAGTCAGTATGCACAGATGTATTTGTTGTCATGTGCACAAGTAGGAAATAAGGTTCCTGTGCTTTCTGTTATGTTTCCTTTTGGCAGGCAGGAATCATCTCCATGAGGCTTCTGTTTCTTAGTTTAACAAGTGAAATGATAGCAGAAAAGCATGGCTTTGTAATGCTGCTGTCTTGGTTGCCTCGTGCTCTGTAGCTCTCTTTCTGTTTGGCGAGCAAGCCCCAGGGCAGAGGTTTTCTCTTCTTTCCCTCTGTTTAGCCCAAAGGGTGCTGTCATTCTGGGTACTGTATGAGAGTGACCAGGCTGGTCCTTCCTCCCCTGAAGGACAGGCTGCTTAAACCAACGCTCTCTCCAGCAGCCAGCACAGCCTTGGTGCCAGTTGAAAGTGCAGCTCTGAGGAAGAAATAGTGGCATTAGACAAAATTCCTGCAAAAAGGGTGGGGCAGAGGGGGAGAACCAGTGTTCTTTGCTATACCTGGCTCTGTAAAAGCAGAGGAAAACAGGTTGCTTGTTGTCTTTTCAAAAGAGCTAGAGCACCTGGTGTTGGCACCAGAGAGATGGAGGGTGGTGGGACACCCCCTTTGGCAGGACCACATATTCTGGTCAGTTTAAGGCAGCTGTGAGTATGGTGTCTGAGGATTTGTTGAGGGCTGATTGTCACAGGAGTTCCTGTAAAATCTTGAATTTGCTGAGGTGTGTTTGTGGTTTCACTGAAACCACAGCCTTCTAAACAAGGGACAGTAAAGCTTTGTTCAGGTCTGAATCTGCTTGGTGACCAGAAGTATCATTGCATCTTTGCATGTCCATGCCCTAGCTGAGGAAGAACAGTAGAAAATGTCCTTAAAAACACGAGATTATTTTTTTACATGTAATTGTGAAGATTAGTAATTGGCACTGTGATTTTGCTATTGGTTTAACTCCTCCAGTGGGCATAACTAGGGTGTTAGAAGTAGGCTAATTGTCTGTCCCTTCTAAATCCTCTGCAGAATTGCTCTGTTCATATAGGAAACTTTTTTCTTAAATACTGTGAGGAAAAAGTTCTTTAGTATTTTTATTGGGTTGTTGATACCTAAATATTGGTCCCATACTATCAGACAGTAAATCTTTATTTATTTCCTCCCTGGTTTCTGACATGGGCAGAAGGCTTTGAGGGTTATTTAAATTCCATAGGTCACAGGTCCTGTGGCATGCATAACTTACCCTGTTCCTGATCCAGAAGGATGTCACAATTGAATTACTTTATGTACCAAACTTCTTAAAAGACCTAAATCCTATAACTGAACCAGAATGTGGTAACCCAGCTGTAAAGCAAACTTCGTGTGCTCCCTTGGAAGAGTGTGTTAAGCACCCATAGTGGAGCTTTTGGTCTCTGTAAGAAGTAAGCACACAAAGGCAAGTGTTAAGCAGCTCACTCCATAAGAACATGGGATTACTCTGAAGCTGACAGGCCTGGTGTGAGGGCTAGCCCTGCATTTGTTTCCCATAACTGCACCACTTTTATCACAAAAAGAGGAACAAAATGATATGAAAATGCAAGAGAAGGCAGTGGAGGAGCAGATGTCTGAAAAATGTTTCACTTGGGTAGATTGAGTTGATGTTCTAAAATTTCTTGGAGGTGCAGATGTGTTGAAGAGGCAGTGAAAGAAAGGGGGATCTCCCACTCCTCCCTCCAAAGTGAATTTCAGGTTCTTTGGTGAGAAGCAAGAATATCTCACAGATCTTCAAAGTATCACTCTGACGTGGTCCAGGCTGGCTGGTAAACAGCGGAGTGTGCTGGTTGGACTGTGAATGCATGATTCAGATTTAAGTGACTGAGTCCAAGTCGCGTGGCTCCTTCAGCTTCCTCTTCAGTGTTGGATCTATTTCCTGAGACACATGAGCTTGACTAAAATACTGTAGAGGAGAAGTGTTCTTGTAGATATTACAGTGGTAATATCTACCAGAGGTATGCTTTTGCTTATGGACAGGTGGCTGAGAATCAGAAAGTGATGTAATTACTCCAGTTGCTTTGTTAAGCTGACCTAATAAATGCTAAAAAGAATTTTCCTATCACTTGCTTCTAAATCTTCCTGAAATTCCCACTTTAATGCTGTTCTTCAGTATCCAGGACAGTGTACCTTCTCCCTCTGGTGTCTAGAAAGGAGAGCTCTTCCTTTCCTTTCTGCACAGAGAAAAGATGAAAAGAGGCCAAACACACCTACCCCCCACTTTTATGCTCCAAGTTTTTCCTCATTCAAGTAGTTTTGCTTTTAATCACAATGCAACATAAGGAAAAACCAAAATGTGGCTCACCTAAGGAGACAGATCTTTTCCCCACACACCTGTCCTTGTCCATGGATAAAGAGAAGCACTGCTTATAAAATTCATCTGGTTAATAAACAGTCATTACAGGGAAGACAGCATGTAACTCCTGATTAGTGGCTTATGTAAAGCCGAGGCTCCAGGTTACTAAGAAACTTCTGCTACTTGCTGATGCTTGCGGGAGTGTTGTGTAAGAGCTGAGCTCTCTTAGCTTCCCAGCAGGCAGTCAGCATTTGAGTGAAGCTTTTTTTTGGCCCGTGCAAAACAAGCAGTAAGAAACCTCCTTTGTGATAGGTAACTTGTACTGATAGGAGAAGGAAAATAGAGGTACCAACTCTGAAAGCTGTGATAAAGTATTGCATTTCTTCAGTCCTGCATTTTGCTGATCTCCTTGACTGCAGGAGGAAGTCACAGCGACTTTAACTGAAGGGATTGTCATGCCTGGGGTGATGGCAGGCTAAATCAGCTGCTATAAGATGGAGTTACATAGTGTGCTGTAATTGTGCCTCAACTTCAGATTTCCAGTTCTTTGCACTGTGGTGTTCACTTTTACCTTTTCTTCTGCTCTGCTTGTCCCCTCAGCCTTGAGTAGTGGTTGACTGTGTCCCTCCTGCGTCCTGCCGACGAAAGCGGCGATGATCACGTTCATGAACAATTCGGACAGTGAGGAGGAGCCCTGCAATGAGAGAACATCCCTGATGTCTGCTGAGAGCCCTCCAGTACCCTCCTACCAGGATGGCCTGCAAGCCCCGTCAGCAGGGGAAGCGCAGGCACATAGGGTAGGTGTGCATCCATGCTGGAGAGTGAGGACATGGGATGTGATGACAGATATCCTCCTGCTACCCCTCAATCCTTCCTAGCAGACTGGCTTCTAGGATTGGCTTTGGCCAGTGTTGTTTCTCTGGTGTCACTCTCAGCCAGCAGCAGCACTGCCTGTTCCCATTTCCTCCACTGCTACGTTTTCCCCCATTTTTCATCTCCATATATACTCCTCCCTTTTCCTTCCTTTTGGTAAAGATACAGGCTTTTAATCAGGACCTGATGCACATATGACTCTTTCAGGATATCCTTTTTTGCCTTCTTGTTTTGCCAGACACCCTTTGTCTGCTCTGGTCAAATGCAGCTAATGTTAGAACAGAATCTAGTCCAACTGCCAGTAAAGCAGCAGGGTAAAGCAGCACAGCGTTGTGGGGGGTGGGGGAGGAGCTAGTCAAGCTTACGCCACCTCCAGTAACATTTTTTTCTATCTGAGTTCTGGGTATCTTGTCCTTCATGTTCATGCATCATCTACATATTTGAAGGGGCCCTTAGGATATTCCTGGTTTTGGTTTAAAAACTCCACGGTTGCAATGGGATTTTGAACACAAAGAAAAGAATCATCTTATATGTTTGCTAATATATCTTTCCAGAAGAGGCGAGCAGGTAGCAGCCGTAGCGCAAACAATATTGCTGACGGAGAAATGTCTGCCTCGGGTGTCCCAGTGAGAGAAAGCATCCTGGAGAATGAAGAGGAGGAACTGACTCTGAAATATGGAGCAAAGCATGTAATCATGCTCTTTGTGCCTGTCACCCTTTGTATGATTGTTGTCGTCGCCACCATAAAGTCAGTGCGCTTCTATACGGAGAAAAACGGGCAGCTGTAAGTGGGGTCTGAGTGTGTGGCATCCGCAGCCTCACATACACGCTCTGTGCACGCGTGGCTGTGTGCACAGGGTGCTTTCCTGGCAGGCTGGGAGAACCCTTACACAGGGAAAGGTGGCTGTACAAACGTACAAAGAGCTTGCTAAAGTATGCCACATTCACCTGTGTAAGTTGTTCCGTGCCTGCATTACAGCGATGTGTTAGCACTGTCGTTAGGGTGCCCTAGGTGAAGCTTGCGAGCAGCACAATAATGAAGCTGCTTTGTTCGGCAGCGTAAAAGGCCCAGACTGGACTCCTGGGCTGTTCACTCATAGCTGGCAGGAGTCAGGGAATAGCATGTTCATTTGGATGAGTGTCTCATTTCCTGGTGATATTTCTGGTTCCTAAAGACTCATGGTACGGATATGTAATTCCATCCAGCTCTTGCTGACTGTGCCTGACTCCTGGGGCTCACATCAGGTGGAGAAGTGGGGACTGTGGGCTCTTGAATTGAAACAAAGGAAACAAAATGGGGGGAGGGGTGCACTGTGATGAGAGGGAATAAAAGAGCTCAAGACTCTCCTACCAAGTGTGGAAAGAAAGGGTGTCCCTCCTTTCAGAACAGCACCTGGGATGTGTCCTTATAATTATCATGGAGAGGATCCAGAGTATGCAATAAAAATTCATGGCCTGGAAAGCAATTACTAAAATAATATATGCTCTAGGTCTTTTTGTTTAGAGCTCTGCCAGCCATAGCTTCTTTGTAGGAATGTGCTTTTGATAGAGACCACTAATCTTTAGTTGATAATTAACTGGAGCCCGGTCCCTTCAGAGGCTATGTCTCATGTTTGCTGTCTTTGGCAGTCCTAACTCCCTTTCTTTCCCACACACAGAGAGGTCTGGTTTTATCTAGAGCAGTTTGTTAGAATATATATACTTTATGTTGCTTTTGCTTTCTCCTGCAGGATCTACACCCCTTTCAGTGAGGACACCCCATCTGTGGGCCGGCGTCTCTTGAACTCAGTGTTAAACACCATCATAATGATCAGTGTCATCATTGTAATGACTGTGTTCCTAGTTCTGCTCTATAAATATCGTTGCTACAAGGTAAAGTCTTCATGCCAGAGCCTTTTCCTGCTAGATGCTGTGAGGAAGAGTTCAAGTGGGCCTTGCATGTCAGTGAGAAATACAGGCACTGCACTGGCTAGTCCACATCTTA